TAGTGTCAGTACGAATGACTAACATGTCCCATGTTTGAAGAAACTCTGCATCAGAGGGTCAGGATAGGGTTGCTTTTTACTGCAGTCCCCATTTTCTCAGAAGCTTCCAGAAAATAGGATGGAACTCCTCATATCTTTGGGTTTTTTTGCACGTTGCATCACACTTGAGAACAGGCCTCTCCAGTTCAGTACAGAGCTGGTGACAGAAACCTTACCTTTCTGCTGACCAGGAAGCTGGCTGCAACGGCCAGGCCGTGTGTAAAGTTGTCAATGGTGTTGGCCAGCAGATTGAGGTATCCACTAATCTGCAAAGAGAAGGATGAGCCCCTGATGAAGGAGGAGACATAACAAGATAAAAGAAACCACATGGCTTAGACAGAGGTTATAGAGAGTCACAATCAGATGGTAAAGGTCAGGACATGGCACTTCTGGTGAAGATCTTAAACTGTCACTGCTCATGTACAAATTAAATGTTATGCTCAGTTTTAGAGTAAACAAAGTTTTAGGCTAGGCAAGTATTGTCTGAGATTAGGATAATCATCTTATGCAAATGACAAAGAGCTCTAGAAACAAAAAGAGAAAGGAAAAAGAAGAAAGCCAAAATGCAAGAATATATCTGATTCTAACTTGAAACAATTTTAGGTAACATTGACTAATTTACACAGGCGACTGGCTTCAAATATGACCTGACCTTGTTTTCTAGTCATGTATTTTAATATCCAACTGTTAAATATCTCCTCTTCAAAAGATGACAAGAACAATGCAACAGAACAAACGCTGCTGAAGTTGCTTTTTATAACTAAACAAATCTTCAAGCGCTGTACTAAAAAAGCTTGTACTTGTGGGTTTGCTTTCCCCTAACAAAGAATAAAAAGAGAAGACAGTGATGACAGTCAACAAAAAAAACCACCTACTAGAAGGCTGGATAGCATCTACATGCATTTCCATATAAACATTTCTTAAAATTATAAGCATAAAGCAGCTTTCTTCCTCACAAGTCCATCTCCATGTTAGACATCCCTATCATGATAGCTACGGTCATCTCCAGACAAATTTGGAGTATTTGACCTGAAGTGATTTATGAGAGTACAACTCCACCTCTTTTCCTCACAGGTTTGGTTTGGTTTTTTTCCCATCAGATTTAACAAAAACTACTGCGTGTGGGTCCTGAGTTACTGCAGTTCACTATATGGTACTTGAGTTAAATCATTATCAAACCACGTGTTAGTCACTACATCAGCCTGTCTCTGGACTGCAAGGACTGAGCTGGCACACATTAACTCCAGATTCAGGGCAGCATCCAGTGAGTGCAGAGGAGAGACTGTCTAGAAACTTCTTCTAGGCATTACTTCACCATAGCATCGGGCACCGAAGTTCAGCTGGAAAAATACAAGTGCTGATGGGTTTCATGAGCCCTTTTTTGGTTTTCTGCTTTTCCCTGTTTCTATCAAACTCTGCTTGGGGCATCTTTTCTTCCTGCCATCTGAATGCCACAGCTCAGGTGGGGCTTTCTGTCACGTCTCTCTCTCCAAAGCATCACCTTTCTGCAGGGCTCTTCTACTGCGTGATCTCAGGACATCTTTATAGGCTCTAAACTTTTAAAAGTACATTGATGATTAAATATGAAAATAAAGAATAAGCAAAGCCTAACTACAGATTACGTTTAAGTAATAACCTCCACAATGGATGCAGAAGTAGGTCCCTGCATGTTTTTATAAGAAGGAGAACACAAAGAAATGCACACAGGCAGACCCATGAACACAGCAGTTTTACTTCTCATTCCTCATTTTTAGTCAAATATGACTGCCTAAAATTTCTCCTTTTCATGTTGGGATTTTATGTGATTGCGTTTTCCCCACAGGCCAGTAACAATTATTCACATAAGTTTCACACAATAATGCTTTTCCATACCACTGTATAGGGGAAAAAATAGACTTCATGATTAAAACATTATGACGTTTTCTTGTCAGTGGCTTGGGCAAAAGCTGTCACTGAAAGAAGCAAAGCCTTGGAGTGCTCAAAAATAAATTGGGTTGATTTGACAGTTATGAGCCTCTGACATTTACATTCTGCGAATTCCTAATAGGATGTTCTCATTGCTCATAAAGAGCAGAGCCAGATGACGTGTTTATGCTCATGCTTTGGAATTAATGTCACTGTGCAATAAAACGTACTTCTACAAATCAGCAAGGACCTCATGTGCTACAGGGAAAAAGAAAGAATAAGCAAGGCAGAAGTACTCTACAATGTTTTCATTTGTTGAGGGGATAAAAGCTGCAATGCAGGACAGAACTGATCTATGTCTGGGTGCAAAGGAAGCCTCCCACCTGCAGCTTTCAAGCTAGGACAAATTATTACAGCAGCAGCTGAAGAGCAGAAGTTATAATATATATGGACAAAGGACACACACAGAATCACACAGAATGTTAGGGACTGGAAGGGACCTCGAAAGATCACCTAGTCCAATCCCCTGCTGGAGCAGGAACCTAAATGAGATCACATAGAAAAGCCAACTGATTACAAAAAAAAGGGGAATTACTGAGTAAACAGTAGAACCAAAGAAGTCTGGCTTGCTATGTCTTTCTCTCTTTTCTTCACAAGCTCTTTCGCTCACTTCCAGCCAATGCCATTTCCCTGCATGTCCCTTCCCCACCCTGCACTGCATGACAGCCACTTCCCCACCAGGCAGGGACAGTGAGGTGAGACTTACCTGCTGATCTGCCAACCAGGCAGACCTGCCAAGCAGCACGCAGCACCTAGCTTCTGCCAGAGTTCGTCAATAGGGCATTGGTTTGCATTCCTCTTCTACCACCATGCTAATTTTTATGGAACTTGCAGAAATTTGATTACCCTCAAGACTTCTATCCTCTCTTGAACTCAAGTAAAATTAATTATGGGTTCAAACGTTATTGAAAATGAAGGGCAGAACAGATGGACAGACAGATGGAATGACTGCTTATGTTGTTGCCTAAGGAAACAGGCTAACAACGCAGGAATATCTTGGTAGTTTTGGTAATTCCCCCCCTGCCAGAAAGACTATTAAAATATTCAGATTCTACGCTCAGAAGGTAGAAAGTTAAAACTACACATGTTAACTCATCAGTTTCTATTTCATGCATATTGACAACAGTCTGTAAGACTGAACAGACGTGAGGATTTTAAAGCTAGAAAGGCTCTCCGTGGTTGTCTCGACCTTCTACATAACACAAGTGAAAGAATCTCCTTCAATTTCTGCACAAAGCTCACTGATTCTTAAGCTATAGTGTACTTTCTACAAAGTAGCTTAAATCACAGCTTAAAGCCCACGAGTGACAAAGAATCTACATGTCTCTAAGATAAATTGGCCCACTGGCAAGTTACCCTCAGTTACAGAGCTGTCTTTTCTTTCTAGTCTGCTACCATTTGGTGTAGCTTTAACTACTCAAATTTAGTCATGCTCCTCACATGGGTATTTGTATACTGTAAGTCACCTTTGACCTGTCACATCTACAGAGCTAAAGACTAAAGAAAACCACTTCTTATCACATCCTGCAAATCTAAAATAATTATTTTTCAGCTCTTTCCTGACCCCTTTACAAATTATCAGTAGTATTTTGGATAGTGTGAATAACACTACTGGAAAAAATCAGATAACTGCTACACAGAAAGAGGAACACTTGCCTCTTTTCTTATATACTATTTCCTACTCACCCACCTCCTGGTTGTAGCATCAGAATGGAAGAATGTGTTCAAACAATTTCCTACTGTGATTCTCATACCTTTTTCCAGGCACTGACTTCCTAGGAACTGTCCCCGTCTTGTAAATATGATCAGCATTCTTTCTTAATCTATTCCTTAATATCAAAACACGTTACAAATTCATCTCTTTTCATGAAGTTACTTCATTTAGCTGATATCACTGACCTCATGCAGTCACAATATACCATTTAGTAGTCTCTGCAAATGTGAAGATCTATTGTTTTTATAAGTTATCACTTAGAAACATAATAAGCCACCAGTGAACAGATTTGACGGGGGCTGCGTTAATCCAGTCCCTGGTGATAATACAGAATTACTGATTTTTAATATATTAGTGAAGTTGCTTTAATGCAGTACCAGTTTTATTAGAATGTATTAGAATGGGGGGAAGTTATGTTTTATATACATTTGGCAGCATCATTACCTTTATCAAACAATCTTATGAGCAGATAAAAGGCAAGGAAAAAATGTCTGGTTAACAAGAATTTAGCTTCCATAAGATCACATCAATTAGCATTAATTAGATTATTATTTTTTACATTAGAACCAGGCCCTGAGCAACCGTGTCCCCCATCAGGGTTTCATTTCTACTTGAAATCAGTGGTAGAATAACCATCCTCTAAGTCCATAGTTCCTTATATAAATCTTTCTAAAATAATGTTTCATAACCCAGTAATATTGGTTTCTCCACCACTATCACCTGTAGAAACACCAAGGCAGCACCTCACAGTTTGTGCAGCGCTCTACACAGATTACATGAATGTGACAGATACGCTGAGGTCGCTGTGGATTTTTGATATCTCTCACATTGTGCAGTAAGAGCTATAAAATCACAGCAAAACGGATTTAAAATAGAAAGACTGAAGAGCCTCTGACTGACCATACATCCAGGTCTGGGCTAGTTCATGCAACCACACTTTCTCTTACAATCATGCACATTTTTATGGACTTTCAAACTCGAATTATAGGTTCTCCTTCACCAAAGCGGTTGTTTACTCTCTTGTTTGTTAACATTCATCCAGACAGGGGTTTCCACAGTGCAAAGATAGTAACACAACACTGAAATCAAAGCCAGTCGAAAGGTTAGCCACTGCCCAGTGGTACAGTCCTCCATTTCCCTCCTCCACCTCCAGCTCTACGAGCCTGCTGATCTCCCTCATCCCAGCACTACGGGCTGCCTGTCTACATGCCAAGCTGATCTAAGAAGTGAAGTCAGGAAAGAAATAAAACAGGGGAGAGGGGTGTTGGGGGTTAGAGAAGAGAAGAGAAGAGAAGAGAAGAGAAGAGAAGAGAAGAGAAGAGAAGAGAAGAGAAGAGAAGAGAAGAGAAAATTCTTTGCCTGGTTAGATCCCTGAATAGGCTCACTGTGGGGTGAGATAAGGTCCAGTGCAAAGCAACTGATGGGAAGTACAGGTCTGGAGGTTGAAGTGGACAAGAAACATTTTTTGGCAGCAGCTAAACTGTTAATCTGAGAAACTGAACTTCTAAGTTTTACAGAGGGTAGCTTCAACTGTCAAAACACCAAAAGGTGCCTTAAAAGGCAATGTGCAGCTCACAATTGGTGCAATGCAGGCACTAGTGAACAGAGAAATCATGGCACAAAATTAAAGCAAATAAAGATATAATGTCTACAAGATACAGAGTAACAAAGTGTGAAAATACTGTACTTTGGTCTCAGGATTCAGCCAAAACCCACATCATCAGACTTACACCTCCACAATAGTGACTTTGCCTTTTTTGCATAAGCTGCAGTGCAGATTTCCTCCAAGTCTGCTATTTCCTCCCTGCTGTGACTTGAACACACTTTGACAGAGCAAAATTAAGCACAACTCACTCAAACAGTCAGTTCCTTACTCAGGCAGAGTTCTTTCCACAGACAACTCATCCTCCTGACTGCATTTTGAAATACATGCCCTGAAAACAGAAGATGTGAAGGTCAGTTTGTGGGTCTCTTACCTTGATTCTGTTGTCAGTTGGACAAGACTGGAGAGAGGAGCCATTACACTGAGTTGAACTGGTTCCTCCTCTTTGGGATTGGTCTGCCACCTTCCGCAGGGGGTAGCCACTTCCATTGGGAATCTTTCCAGCTGGTGCTTTGGAATCACAGCCCTAAATTAGGGGAAAACAACTTGTCACTGCCTTTTTGTCAGTGAGGAATGAGCACGAATCAGGGTTAGAAATCAAATCTTCACCCTGAATCCTTTTGTCCTTACACTGCAAATCAGCAGCTTTGGTACCTCAGTTTAATAGTGAAAACTGCCAGAAATGAGACAGATTTCAGAGGACATTGTGAGACAACAAGAACAAAGACTTCCCAAATCACCAAGAGAAGTGAAAGCAGAAAGACAGAGGAGGAATTTGAGTCACATCCCCTTGGCATGAGCCAGGTTCCACTGGAAATAGGAGGGACTGAGCCTGCCACTCCTGCTGACAGCTGCTCCCTAATGAAACACAACCCCATCTGGGCAGCGGATGGGGGGGAAAAAAAGTCTTGGTCTCCTCAGTGCATCAGAATAACCAAGTCTAGAGAATTATTCTATAGCTGGGGTCATCAGCTTCCAAACAACCAAATGTTCATCTCAGACTCCAGTCTCTCTGTAAATGAGAAGATTAAGTTCATTTGAGACTTAAAGTCTCACATTGAGTCAAAGTAACATCTAATTGCTCTTAAGCGGTGCCTGACCTGCAGTTTCACCTCTTAGAAGTTGTGGCACAGCAAAGACTGAACAGTCTATAGGAGCTGCTGCTGGGAGTTGTGCAGATGTCTGGGGACTAGCTGCTCTTTGCTATCTTGGAATTACCTTATGGAATCATAGAATGGTTTGGGTTGGAAGGGATCTTACAGATCATCCAGTTCCAACCCCCCTGCCAGCAGCAGGGACACCTTCCACTAGACCAGGTTGCTCAAAGCCTCATCCAACCTGGCCTTCAACACTTCCAGGGAGGGGGCATCCACAGCTTCTCTGGGCAACCTGGGACACTGTCTCACCACCCTCACACCCTCATACCTCGTCTAAATCTCCCCTCCTCCAGTTTGAAGTAATTTCCCCTTGTTCTATCACTCCCTGTCCTTGTCCAAAGTCCCTCCCCAGCCTTCCTGTAGCCCCTTCAGGTACTGGAAGGCCACTAGAAGGTCTCCCCAGAGCTTTCTCCAGGCTGAACAGCCTCAACTCTCTCAGCTTGTCCTCATAGGAGAGGCGCTCCAGCCCTTGGATCATCCTCGTGGCCTCCTCTGGACTCATTCTAGCTGGTCCGTGTCTTTCTTGTGTTGATGGCTCCAGAGCTGGACACAGCACTCCAGGTGGGGCCTTACAAGAGCGGAGTAGAGGGGCAGAATCCCCTCCCTTGACCTGCTGCCCACGCTGCTTGTGATACAGCCCAGGACACAGTTATTTGCCTTCTGGGCTGCCAGCGCACATTGCCAGCTCAAACATACCTTCTGGTATCTCTGTCTACATTGCCCCTTTGCAGCTGGGCAATTCTCCTCTGAACCATTACTCAGTATTACCTGGCCAACCATAAACCCCTTCTACTACACAGAGTTACCCTAACAAACGTCTGGTCCAGGCCATACCCAAAAAGAGTGAGCAATGAGGAACACCTTCCAGAGAAGGCTGGCCTTTGTTTGGACTGAGGACCCAGAAGGGGAGTGAGTCACGATGGCTCAGTGGAACATGCATCAGCAAGCTGTCATCCCTCAAAGCTTACTCAAGCAAGAATCTCATCTGCAGAGCACTCCAGCTCCCAGTCCCCATAAAGGAGAGCTCTCTTTCACACATACCACATCAAGAACAAAACCAGCCCAGAGGTGAGAAACCTCAGCTAAAACCACAAAACCAAAGCCTGGAGATCAAACACCTTCTTCTAGAGCCCAGTGGCAAAGAAGTGGCAAACAGCTCCCAAAAGGCATTGAGAGCTATTCACAGCTCCAGGATATTTGCTGAGCCTGTCAGATAGGGCAGACGAGGTGCTTAGTACAGTGCTCCAAATATAACAGCACTCCCTCCCCTCTGGCCGCTAACTTACCACACCAGGGCACTCCTTCTCTTCTTTCTCTAGAAAGATCTTCTCTAGCACCAGGAAGGTCAGGAAGCCAATGATCACCCAGAGTCCCAGAAGCTTCTGCTGCTGAAAGCTCTGCCCTTCTCCTGAAGTACGAGAGAAATCTTCATGTCACTATCAAGCACACAGTGTTTCCCACATGTGAACCCACCCCGCCCCAGGCAGTTTAACCAACAGTTCCAAGACAAAAACCAGGAAATGACAATGGAAACACCTCCTGTGAGGAATAAGGAGCAAATATATCTCACAGCAAATTAGTTTAACTTGCTCATTCTTGATCTAACAGATATCCCCTATCTCAGGACACTCAGAGTGAGAGCCCCAACCCCTTTTGCTTCAATACTGCAATCCAGAAGATTTCCTGACAACACTGGGAATTTCCCTGAGCTCCAGAGGCAAGTGAAGATTACATCAACAAAAATCCTGCAGCTATCTACTGAGCAGCAAGCCCTGACATGAAATCTGCCATTAGTGGAGCTATAGACTCACCTTCCCCTCTCTGCCACACCTGAGCAAGTTATTAAGCCCAAAGCTACAAACTTTCTTTTCAATTACAGCCAAGCTTGTGAGATAATGATCCATTCAGCCTGGCTGCAGAAGCGGAGGTTGCGCTGCAGTGGAAGAACAGAATGACTCTGTAATGGGGCTTACATGGGTCAAGGAAACCTTTATGTTTCAGGACAGTCTGGCAGAAACAAACAAGCTAGAGCAGGAAGACAGAGTCATTTGGGAACCACTGCAAAAGGACAACAGGTTCTGCTGGCAGTGCCAGAGCCATGAGGAAGAAGAGGACCGAAGGCCCAGCAGATCTGAAATTCCAGGACACAGATACAAGGAAGTCTGGGAAACCCATGGCATCCTTTTCCCTCTCTCACCTTTTCAGCAGGGAAATGATTTATTGGTTTCTCAACAGGTGGGATGCAGCCTTCTACGCTATCAGTTTGCTCAAGCAGAGAGGTACAATCACTGCAGGTTTCAACAACCCTGGCTATCTGAGGGGTGAAGGAGATACACCGATAGCACAAGCTCTACCCCAAGCTAAACAGTATTTAGTTCACTGGCCAACACCGTTTTCTGTCACCTGCATTTCCTTTTCCCCCCCCTGCCCTGCCCCCCCCCCACTTTAGTCACGGCTCCATGGACCATTTCCCATGACTTCTCCTGGAGCAAAGATTGAGAGAGCAACATATTTGGACTCCATAGATCGAAGTAACCAGCAGAGGGGCCCCGGTTAGTCCCAAGAAAGAGGCTCTAGGAGTAGCACTGTTAAAGGGACAGATTCATAGATAAAATGTATCTGATGGGGCAGAATCCCCACCTGAGATAGTGCACACAGGTTAAAGAAGCATTCCCTTTCCTTACAGAAAGGACAAAGGAAATTCAACAGAGGTTTACAGGAGTCCAATGCAAGACAGGAAAAGGTGATAGACAAGAACTCAGTTGCAAGTTATTAAACATAAAGAAACCATGTCTAACTCAGGAAGCCTCCAGTCTCAAAAGTCTTTGGAGGACTGCAGAGTACAAAGATGAAGTATTACATGTGTCTTTATTGGTCTTATATCCTTCCCCAGGCATTTGCTTTTACACATTGTTTGAAAGAGAGTATCAGCCTAGATCAGTTTTTGGGCTGATCCAGCCTGACTGGTGTTTTCACCACAGAAAGGCAGTAGCAGCAGGCATAGCACAATAGCACGGGCTGCTTCTAGGCACAGAAGGTTTTCATACCTGTCGTTGCACTGCATGTGTAGGCCCAGGCTTCAGGAAGCAGGTGCAGAAACACATTACCCAGTAGTCCACCAATTGCAAAACTCAACAATTGCTTCAAACGGTGTGATCCAGCTAAAATAAATAAATAAATAAGAAATAAAAACTGATCACAACTCAGCTGGAAGCGAAAACATCTCCAGCTGAGATTTTGCACAAAGAGACCTAAATTGGAAGCATCTGCAAAGCAAGCTTTCAAAGGAGAGAGCACAAAACAAATAGCTGGAGTGCAAGAAAAAGCCCTTCCACCGCTTGGCTGGGACAGCAGTGTGTGAGAGGGTCCTGGACCAAGCAGGGTGCAAAACAAACAATACTCTTTGTACAAGCTCCATCCAGGGCTTGCATTTGTCTGAGGACTCCCTGTCTTACCTTCTGACCGCAGAGCAGCTCCCGTCTCAAGTGGGATCACCAGCAAGGGGAAGACCCCACTCAGCCCCACCATGAACGAACCGATGAGAGAACAGATCCAGGCATCCAGCCGCTCGCTGCTGAAAAGGCTTCCCCAGGACTCTGCCTCCTTCTCGCACAGAGGACCAGAACTAGCAGCAACATGATTCCTCGGGAGCTGCTGAGCTTCACAGGCCACGATCAGAAACAAGGAGAGTGTCCCATCACACAGAAGCTTTTTTCTTGTCATCGCTAAGTGGTCTCAGCCAGGCTGGCTGATCTCTGAAAAGAGCAGGGGAGAGCAGTTCTGAGAGCGTGCCCAAGGCTCCCTCCCACCAGCCCAAAGGAAAGGCCTCAGTCACATCATCCCCTCCCTCAGCACCTTAGCACAGGTATGTATCCCCACAAGGACCACCTGAAACTCTTCCTGATTTCAACACAGCACTGAAGGACAGAGAGGCTGTTTATCATCAGGTGTATGAAACTGCACGAGACATCTTGAAAGAGTCTGGCTTTCAGCATCTCCCCTTGGGTGGATGGGACAAGGACTCCAAGTACCCTTGTCCTTGCCCTTCAGTGTCCCATGGCTTCAGAGAAAGGTATTGACCAGAGATGCTACCCAGATAAATCTTTTCTTTGCCATGGAACAGTATCCATGTAACAAATTAGGATGCAAGACAGGCAACATTATAGAGGTCCGTAAAATCATGAGTGGTATAAAGATGGTGAACAAGGGTAGATTATTCACCATCTCTTCAGACCTTAGGTACTAACAGCCATCACATGAAACCAGTGAGAGTCAGCTTCAAAACAAAACAAATAAATGTGACTCTTCACCAGCAGGTAACTTGTGTGGTAGAACTTCTCCAAAAATGATGGAAAATTCGACATGGATTCAACAAAGACAGAACAAGTACTAGAAAGACATATCTATTGATTGTTCATGGTTAGACAGCTCACATTAGACTCAGGAAATCCCCTTATCTGAAAGGAGCTGGAGGCTGGAAGGGTAGTTGGAAAACATTATATCTAGTTGTCCTGTTTTTATTCTTTCTTAGAATGATACTGGATTAGATGGTCTCTTAGTCAAAATCAGCACAGTTGTTACTAAGAACTCTCTCAAACTGGAGAGAAGCAGGTATGTTAGAAGAGGAAAATAAAGATAATTACAGTCTCATTGGTGAAAACAGGAAAGTAAATGATGCAAAAGCTGAAGTACAAATGCTCCTTCAGCCTCCAGAAGAAAAAGTGAAATGTGACAAGCAAAATTAATTTGGAAATGGGAGAAAAGAGGTGGTTAGAAAAAAACCAGCTTAACAAATGTTCACAGAACAGCTGTAGATTGAGAGGGAATAGCAGCATTCACCTGAAAGCATGTAAGAAACCAGGCAAAGTAACCTCTGCAACGTTAGTGACCATCTTTGAAAATTTACAGGAATATGGGAAGGCCACAGAAGGCTGGAGAAGCATCATGCCTCACCTACCTTTACAAAAAGAAAAAAAAAGGTGGGAGAAGACTTAAGAAGTTACAGACCCGTAACTTCAATCTTCTGAAAGATTCTTGATCAAGGTAAATGATCAGTTTGTAGTTACCTATAAGATAAGAAAGTGATAAGATAGCAAAGCATTAAGTAACAGCCAGACAGAAAGGGGCCTGAAATTATCAAGGTAAAATTCAGGGTGTTGGGACCAATCTAGGGGCTCGCTGCAGCTGGAAAGGGCAGTGTTGCCCCCTTGTCCCCCACCCCCTCATGAAGCATCCCCTCCCCATCCGCACAGCTGGCTCCATGGGTGAGCAGGGTCAGAACAAACTGGCAGGAAAAACTATTTAACTTTTTTTTTTAAAAAGAGTTGGCCCTTTTCCAGTTTCAGTCCCTGAACTAAATCACTGCAGGAGGAAGGCCCAGCTGCAGTGAGCAAAGCGAAAAGGAAAATAAAGGACATGGTCCCATGGGTCCTGTGAAGGAGGACATTGACCTCCAAGCATAGTGACCATGGACACCAGGAGCAGGGAGGATACAAGAAGGAACCAGTGAAGCCACTGGCTTGGCAAGCTGTGCAAGAACCACTAAAACTTTTTGCGGCAAGATAATGTCTGATCAAGTGTAAAATCTACTGACTGATACAAAACCCATCACTTGGGTTTTGGTTTGGTTTGGATTTTTTTTTTTTTGACAAGAAAAATCCTTCCACATTGCAAGTTCATACCAGCTCAGGATTTTGTGGCATCTTATTGCAGTCTTTTGATCCAGCTGCAGGAACTCTAGACCTACCTATAACATACTATGAAACCAATCTCAGCAAACACTGGTGTAAAACAGTATACTAAGGGTGGGAAAAAAAAATCAAATGGAGATGACAAAACAGGAACTCAAACGAGTCAGAAAAAAACCCCCAAAATGCATAAATGCATTACATTGATTCAAAAATTAATTTTACATTGCTATAAAGTAGGCAAATGACATCTTGTGACATATTAGTAGCTACATTGTAGGTGTGACACAGAAGCAGTGATCCCATACCACTCCACACGCATGAGATTTCAGCCAGCAGACTGCACCACACCCAGCCTCACACACTCTTCTTTATAAAATCGATGCAAAAATCAGAGCCTTTCCAGTGGAAAGAAACACAAATTATAGTGTAGAAAGTATGAACTGGAATAAAACGACAGAAGGACCTGGGTGTGTTTAGTCTTAAAAAGACAACACTGGAGGGAACAGAACAGTCTGCATACGTTAAAAGTCACAAGAAAGGGGGAAAGAGCTCAAGTCTTCTTCCACGTTACAGCATTAGCTCAAGTGGTAAACAAGATTCAGCCTGGGTATGAAGAAACAAATTTACACAGTGCCAAAGTGGTGATATACTGAAACAGGTTGTTTACAATGCACAATCTCCAGCACTGGTTTTGGTTTGGTTTTAGAAAAAGAATAAACACCTGATGCAGATGCTATTTCACTGCAAAGACTGGATCCATTCCTGAAGTCCCTTGAGCCCTACACCTGTAATTTGATGTAAGCTGGTGAGTTCCTTGTTGGACTGGCAGGACCCTCGGAAAGGAGGCAGGTTTTCAGCTGTAAATCACTATTGGCACAACCACTTCAAAACAGGAGGGAAGGAGGGAGTAGCAGGGAGGGACACTTTCATCTCTCACAGCACTCCAGGCACCAATTCAACTCAGGCACTGAAGAGAACAGGCG